CCCTGACCTCAGACGTGCAGCCTCCAGACTGTGAGGAACACACACCTGTGGTATAAGCCGCCCCGTGTGAGGCGTTTCGTTATGGCAGCCCGAGCTGCCCAACACCCCGATAACCAGAGGTGAGAAGGAGGCCGAGCAGGGCCAAGGCTGGCCTCCTGCTCTCCAGGGAGTTGGCAAGGGTAGGCGTGAAGGGAGGACGTGGAGCCGAGGCCACCCCACAGGGACACTGCCCATCCTCGCCCCGAATTCCTCTTTAATAATGACTCGTGGGCTTCCCTGGTGGCGCAGTGGTTGAGGGTCCGCCTGCCGATGCAGGGTTCATGCCCCGGTCCGGGAAGATCCCACATGCCGCGGAGCGGCTGGGCCCGTGAGCCATGGCTGCTGAGTCTGCGTGTCCGGAGCCTGTGCTCCGCAACGGGAGAGGTCACAGCAGTGAGAGGCCCGCGTACCAGAAAAAAAAAAAAAAAAGAAAAATCGCAGCCCAAACCTCGTCAAACTGCCCAGAGATTACTTAAGATTTACGGCACAGACACAAAAATAAAATAAAATAAGGCAGCCCAGCGAGCGGCAGCCCCTGTGACAGCACCATTTGTAGTCGGGATGGAGCAGCCGCCAGACTCATCTGCTTAAGCACAGGGGCTTCTGTTTATTCTGCACTTTCATGTCAAATGAATTTGGAAAGAAAAAAAGTGACAGACAGTTTAGGGATAAAAGTCGCATTTCAGCTTCAGTTCAGATTAATGAACTTGTTGGAAGCTGGCGAGGACACAGGCAAATCCACAAATCTTAGAACAAAAAAAATTAACTCCTCGCTTAGTGTGTGCCTCAGCCCCGGGGTGTGCTCGTGGGCCCCCCTGCTGCCCAGGTCCTGGGAGCCAGCTCTGGGCAGCGGCGCTGTGCAGTCCTCGAGCCCCAGCCACGCCTCCTGGGGCCCTGGACCCGGCCTGCCCGGGCCAGCTTCCACTCCCCCTGCACGCAGGCAGCCCCAAAGCCGGAGCCGTGGTGCCGAGGATTCTGCCCCACTCAGGCCACAGTCCTTCCCAGGAGGGGCAGCCACCCCCCACCCTGTGGGCCTCCTGCTCCGGCCTCCACACGCTCCCCTGGCCAGGGCAGCGGCTGCCTCATCCAGCCCATGGCTCTCAATGGGATGGGCAGTGCCCACGGCGTCCAGGAGCTGCTGCCCGGCCGTTTCCCACCTTCCGTCTGCCCCAACGTGGACGAGGGCTGACCGGCCGACAGAACCGACGGGCTAACTGCCCTACTTCCAGCTGACTCTCCTCTCGGGTGTTTCTGGAGTCAGGGCCTCACCACAGAAGCACCAGAACCTCCTCCACCTCCAGACCAGACAGCTGGTGGGGGGAAGGGGACCCCAGGACTCCTGCTGTGAATGTGGGCTACCATGTGGCCCCTCAGCTCCCCACATATTAGGCCAAAACTGACATGGGGCTCAGAGTAGGTTTCTGTCTAAACCGGGAAACAGTGCAAAGCCGCCTTGCGAGGCAGACGTGCAGCCTGCCGCCCAGGACAGCAGTCAGTGGTGGCCACACTGCCATGGTGGCTCAAGTCATGGTGCGGAACACGGGCTTCCGGGAGGGGAGAGGCCAAGGACCCTGCAACCCTCTGCCTCTTCCCAGACACTAGGAGCCAGGCCTGGGGATGCCCACCTCCCGAGCCCCCCCAGAGCAGGGAGCGGGCAGGGAGCCGTGCCGCCCCTGACCCAGGGCCAGCAGGGTGGGGAGGAGAGGAGAACGCTGCAGCGTTCAAAGGCAACGTGCCTCTCCTGAGGCCGCCGGCTCTGCCCCAAGAGTTTGGAAGGCGAGGGGCCCCAACATGAGTGAGGGCCGTGCTGAGAGTGGAGGAGGGGCCTGGGCAGCGCCCTGTTGCATCCCTCTCGGGAGAGGGCTCGCAACAGCCCCGCCACCTCTTAAGTCTTTCTAAAGCCAGGCCCCTCGCGGTGCGGGACTGAGCGTGGCGTCGCACAGGGAGGGCAGGGATTTGCCAAGGCCATGGCCGTCAGGCGCGGGTCTGGGCTGAGCCCAGGGTCACACGCTGTGTGCCGCCTACCGGGGGCTCCCTGGGCTCCCCCAGGCTGGCAGCCCCCGCCACGCACACACAGCTTCCTCTCTGCAGAGACTCACAGTGAGGGGTCTGCAGGGGGGTGGGGTCCAGGGCCACCTCATGCTAACACTGGCACTCAGCTGCTGGGCCACCCGCCTCACCTCCCACCTGTGTCCACCAGCCCCCAACTCTGCCCACTGAGATTTCCAGAACTGCTGGGGCCTGCCTGCCAGCCTGCCCCTCGGAGGTGTCCTCTCTCCATGGGGGACACAGATCGGGAGGCCCAAGAAGAGCCTTTGGTTCCTGGGCTCAGCCCCGCTGCCTGGTGGAACCGCCCTGCTTTCTCATCACTGCAGCAGCCCGTAGCCCACACTGGCCTCAGTCCAGCCACGAGCCCCCCACCCCCCTTCTGCCAGGGAGAGCTGAGGAACCTGCAGCTTACAGGACAGAGGCCAAGGCCATGGCCAAGGCCAGGTGGCCCCAGAACCTCTCTGGGACCTGCTGACCATACACAGGCAGCCCCAGCTCTGATGGAGCTGAAGGAGGAGGGTGGGAGGGCATCAGACTGGCCTCCGGCCCTGGAGACAAGCCCTTCCTGCTGCCTCGACAAGCTGAGCCTGGCGTGTACGGCCGACGGCAGGCTGGGCAGCTGGAGGGTGGCAACTGCTGAGAAGGCAGCCTCGCCAGGGCACAGGTGGCCTTGAGCATAGGAAGCCCAGGCCACTGGCAGCCCAACCCACGCTTCCCAGGGCGTCCTGGCCGCTCGGCCCTGCTGCCCCGCAGACCACGTCCAGAGGCCAGGCCCTCAGGGTCCAGGGCTCTGGGTTCAAGGAGCCTCCCAGGTGCGTGGCAACGGGTCAGGCAGGCCTGCAGAGAGGCAGGCGGGCGGAGGGAGGCCTCACCGAGCACAGCCCACACATGCCCTCAGTGCACACGTGGCCATCCTGGCGTGGGCTCGGCCGCACCTCCATGCCCAGGGAGGGCACTGGGGCCTGGTACAGCTGGGAACCTGCCTCAGAGCGCCCAGACACCAAGCACAGGCCAGGGCCGCGGGGCCTGAGCCATCGGGCACTCGGCACGGCCCTTGGCGGGGCTACACACAGCCATCTAGGGGCACGCCCTCCCCATAAGGCCCGGTACCACCTTCGCTGGGAGCTTGAGGCAAGCAGTGGCCGGGCGGGGCTGGCAGCTGGGCTGGGCCTGTCCTGATGGCCCATCCTATCCACCTGACCCGAGTGCGGACCTCACACACCTGTCCATGAGGCAGCCCCCACCTGTCTCCAGAACTGAGGGGAAGGCACACCCCCCGCCCTGCTGCTGACCGGGCTGTTCTCGGCCTGATGGGCTCGACACTCCGGCTGAAAGTAGGAGGCGGCTGCTGCCTCGGGGGCGCCCCCAGCCACCGCCCTCCTCAGGGGCCCTCGACCCCTGAGCCTGGCACCTATTTCTGCTCAGTGGCCACATCAGGGCCTGGCACACTCAACACTGGGCCAGCTGGACCCACACCTGGGCTTCCGTGGCACTCAGAGGCCAGGAAGGAGAGGCCCGCTGGTGCCTCCCTGACGAAGGTCACCCCCGGTCCCCAGCCAGGCCCCCTGGGAGAGGCGGGGCCAGGCCAGGGCTGCCAACGCGGGCAGGAAGGCCGACTGCAGGAGGGGGAGAGAGGAGCAAGAATCAATAAACCTGAACCTCATTCGCGAAGATCTGGGGCTCTTATTAAGTAAATTAATTTAAGTTAATTTAGCTCGATCATGACTCCCAATCACAATGATTTAGTGAGGGGGAAATTGCATTAGGAAAGGCCATGCTCACCAGATAGGAGAATGGAAGAAAATTAGACCCACTTAGCACCGTGAATTAATATGGAAATAGAAGGTGTAAATTTAACCTTATCAAGAGAGTGAAAATTATCTTCATAAATTTGTAGAAATAGCCCCCAAGATGCTTATAAATCTATTTAAAACAAAAATACTACAAAAAGTGCAGTAAAATTAATTTAAAATATACTTCCAGCTACTGCCTCCAGAAAAGTCGGTAGCAGGGCCAAGTTTCGTGTGGCCTGGTGGGAAGGGAGGAGGGCAGTGGCCACCGCTGACCTCTGGGCACACCTACCATGGGCCAGTAGGCCAGCACCTCCTCTCCCATGTCCAGAGAGTGAGGGGCCCGTGGGGGGCTGGCAGGATGGCCCCTGCCCAGGACTATAGCTGCTCTGCCCCGTGGCCCAGCCCTTTGGGGCACAAAGGCCCCCTGGCCCCAAGGCCTGAGGCCATGTGCTCTGGAGTGCCCAGCACAGCCAGCTGGAAGCCCACACTGGGCCAAGGGGCTCCCACACCGCTCCCCAGAAGGACAGAGGGAGGGGACCTGCCACTGCCTGATTCCAACCCACCCAGGCTGTCACCCCTTCCCCTGCCTCATTGAAGGAAGGAGCCGCACCCCAACCTCTGCAGCCCTCCTGCTTCTGGGCCCAGGGGACCCAGAAAAGAAGAGGGAGCCGACCGCACCACACATGCCCTCCAGCAGAAGCAGCCTGGAGCGAGGCCACAGCGCTCAGCGTGCAGGCCAGACCCTGGTGTGGGCGGCCGGAGAGGCACACAGCCTCACCCCCCACCCCGTAACAACCAATACATCGATAGTGAGATGGCCCAGCCTCTCTCACCAGAAGCTTCTCCCTGAGGGACACCCAGGTGGCGCGGCTGCTCCCAGACCACCACCACCACCCCCCCGCCCCAAGCTGGCAGCTGGCTGCTAGCGGACGGGGAGCGAGCGTTTCTGCGTGAGCGCACGGCACACACAGGCCGGCCACACATCTCGTGCAGAAATTGCTAGACAGAAAAATTAGCCCATTCCCCAGCCAACAACTGTAGACCAAGCACTTCCGGGGGTGTGCTCGGTCCTCAGGCCCCGCCCTGCACTTTGAAGCCCAGCAGCCACAGGCCTCCTACCTGGACAGGGAGAGCCGCAGTGCCCGCCAGGAGGGCGGGGCCAGGGGCCCGGGGGCGGGGCTGAGAGGTGAGGCCTGGGTCTTCTTGACAATGCGGTAGCGAGTCTTGATCACTTTGCTGGTGGGAGGGGTCCGCTGGCCGTGCAGGCTGGAGGCTGCAGGGAAACCCAGACACGGGTGGTCAGTGGAGGTCGGTGGGGCCTCCCATCACCCCCTGATCCAACCCCCCGCCCACTCCCAGAGAGCTCAGCAGCCCCGGGCTGCCGGAGCCGGAGGCGGCCAGCGCGGCCTCCAGGAGAGCAAGCGGGGCGGGTGCGGCCAGCTGCAGCAGCTGGCGTGGCAGGCCGGTGCTCCCCGTGGGCAGCGAGGAGGGGCCCACGGTCGGGTCCGCGAGGCTGCGGGCGTGAAGCGCTCACCGCCCTCTCTGGGAACCCTCACCGGGTGTCCATGTAGATTTATGTACTTAATCACTTCTGTTTTCAGAACATTTTGCAGGGTGATGTACACCACAGCTTTATTTCTTGCTGAATGTTTCATGCAATTAACAGGGATCTGTTTTGCCCCAGTTCCCTTCCACTTGATAGCCAGCAATTTCCCCATAGCTATGAGGAACGCATCTAATTGCCCGGCTTTCATAATATACAGCTCTAACTGCCCAGATAATTAAAGCTAACGCAGCACGGGAACACGGGCGCTGCTGCCTCTCGTGACCGACCCAGCACCCCAGCCCCTCAGGCCAGGCTGCTCGGACCCTGGTTCCCAAAGGCGCCTCCTTGTGGCCCCACCTAACCTGCCTGCACGGAGCCCAGGGCCCTGCTTGGAAGGGGGGCCCCTACCAGCCACCCCAGCAGCAGACAGCTTCTGGGCAGCACAGCCAGGCAGGGGGTGAGGGGCGTGGGGGGAGGGTGAATGGGAAGGGGCAGAGACAAGGAGGCCAGGAAAACACACACGTGCTCTCACCACCAGAGCTTCGGCACAAGGACAGGCCTATGATCCCTGGGCAAGAATTAGCTGACCCTCAGCTGAAGGCCGCCTGGGGTCCAGGGTGGCCCAGGAGAGGGAGCACAGCAGGGGCACGGTGGCACCAGACACGCAGGTTCCCACACTCCTGGCTGCTCAGGGCCAGCCACCCCGCTCTCTGACAGCACAAACCGGTGCTCCACGACCTGAACCTGCTCCCCTGGGCCCCAAGGACATATCCTCCCAGCACCTGCAAACTCCACGAGAAGCGGTGACTGCTCAGTGAACAGTGACAGTAACACTGGGTAGAAGTCACCTTCCAGAGCCCTAAACACAACAGACCACCAGCCCACAGCCAGGCCCTCCCCCAGTCAGCAATCAGCACCTTGGCCCAGATGCCTTCTCTCCAAGGCTCACCCAGCCTGATGGGCGGTGGGGTGCGGGGCCTGCCTGGGAGCAGGCAGGACAAGTCCGCCCCACGGGAGCTACCGCACCTGCACGGCCATCAGGACAGCACTATGCCTCCTTGTCCAGATGCTGGAAGAGCCCCTCCCTCAGGTGTCCCCAAACCCATCCCTGGGGCACTGCAGCCTCTAACAGGGCTCCCGTGCACCCACATGAGAAAGCCAGGACACAGCACAGGCTCAGAGCCCCCCCGAGAGCCCCCAGACCACAGGAGCAGCATGTGCAGGCTCCACGCACCCAGCCGGGGTCGGGGTGGACATGGGGCTGCGAGGTCCAGGGAGTGCTGAGAGCGGAGGACGCCTCTGCCCCCGGGACTGGAGGCAGGGGCCCACAGCGGTTGCCCGCCAGGGGTCCACAGAAGTTCGCGCCAGGCCAGGCCAGCACCCCACAGTCTCCATCTCCGTCTCCGTCTCTCTCTCTCCTTCAAGGGTGGCAGCTCAGGGGGCAGTCAGGGAGAAAGAGGGAAGCTCGGCAGAAGCCCCGGGCATCACCCGGGATGCCTGATCCTGCTGAGTGAGCCAAGCGAGGGACTCTAGCTCCAGGCAGCCCCCACACATTTGGGATGCACGGGAGAGCCTAGCACACAGGGGGCATCGGTAAATAAATGTTTGTTGAATTGAATTTTCAAGGTCTTACAAGCAAGAAGAGACCAATGAAAATGGCTAACAGCTTGTCCCAGCTAAGCACTCAGGAGCGCAGGAATCCCTCTAAGTCACTGCCAAGCCCCACGCTGACACCACGGCCCCAAACCCACTCCCTGCTCCCACAGCCTCTGCACCTGGACAGCCCACCTGCCTATCCCCTCCGCCGCCGCTGGGGCCACCCGCCCTCGGCCCCCTTCTGAGGGGGGGAGCTCCCACACCAGCCACCACCTGCCAGTCTGGGCTGCAACACGCACCCTAGAGCCCCAGGGCCCTGGCTGTGCAGCTCGGGGGCACCAGTGTGCAGGGTGGGAAGGAGGGCTGGGCTGTGCTGGGGCAGGGCCCCTCCTCAACAACTTTGTTTTCATCCTGAGCGCCGGGAGCCCCAGGCCTGGCCAGCTTCACCCCCCCTCGCCCAGAGGCACAACATCGGCTTCTCCCATCCCCCTCCCTGTTCCACCAGATGCCACCTCCTCCAGGAAGCCCCCAGCCCCCAATGCCCAAGGGACTGGACTCTGCATTCCGCAAAGTTCCTCTTGGGACATACCACCTCTGGGCCTGGCCCTCATTCCTGCTATTAACGGGCATCAGTATTTATAACATTCCTTTGCAATGCAGCCCCACTGTGAAATTTAACTTTTCACTAACTTACTGCATTTTACTTATTAGTACCTGATAACCACTTCTAAGAAAATACAAAGTAATAAAGTAGGCCCCCCTCTTAAAAGGCTAAGTGTCACCTCCCAGACTTCGGCCCCCGTCAGACCCCAGCCCCTGCGATCCCGAGTGGCAGAGGGGAGGGCACAGCAGCCCATGCCCCGCCCCCCAGAGTGGGGCTGTGACCCTCACAGCCTGGCCCCGCAGACCCTCCTGGTCTTCCCCATGAGCAGCCTGGCTGTGGGGGTGGAAGCACTCAGGACAGCGGCCCTGCAGAGAACAGGCCAGGGTGCCCACGCTGAGGGCACAGAGAGCTCAGCAGGGCGGACAGATGGCTGGTGTCGCCCCCCACCCTACGGCTGATAGGAGTGAGAGCTCCTCAGACCACGCATGGCACACAGGGACTGGAACCTCGAACCCAGTGCAAAGGCAGAGCGGCAGGCATGGGCGAGCTCCCCGTGGGCAGGGCACCCGGCCTCCCCCTGGCCCTGTGGTGCTGGAGGGTTACCCCGGCAGCAGCCCCGGCAGGCAGCAGTCTCTCCCCTTCCTCCTGCAGGCTGAGGGTTTGTGTAAATAATCATGTTATTTAGATAGGATGTTGGTTTAATTCCCTTCATTACAGACTCCCAGGGCTGTAATTTTTTTCTCCGCATGACGTATTCCCCGTGGCACGTTTCACTCAAATCAAACCCTTCGCGCCTTTATTGCCAACGACGCTCGGGCGCTGCGTTATCAGGCTCACACACACGCAGCCCTCTCCGCCCTGCCGTGCAGAGGTCACTTCTAATGACTAATCGATCTCATTAGCTTCCCTAATTAAAAACTTTACTACCGCAATGGAAGACAAACTACAAAAAAATTGCTGGCGTCATATCTGAATGGGATGTGAGCCCATCTATCAGCAGGGCCCGGCTCCTGCATGAGCGAGCTGGGGAGGGAGGCCACCGGCCAAGAGGCGGGGACTGGACCGACAGCAGCAGAGCCCAGGAGGTCTGGCACTCGGGCTGCGGAACTGGGGAGAGCGCCAGCCTTCCCGGGGCCTGTGCAGCTCGCGTGGCCGGTCAGGCGGCGCTGTCTGCAGCAGCCCGGCCTCCAGCTGACCCCGGCCCCGGCCTCAACGAGCCACCACAGATGGCAGAGCCCATCAGACGGAGGTCACTGCTCTCGCTGTGTTTCACCGCGACTAGGGGCGTTGAGAGGGAGTTCAGGTTTTTATGGAACTTCAAAGGGAGAGAACTAGAAGAAGGGGTGCTGCCGATCTCACCACTGCATAATGAGTAAGGAAGAGAGGGAGCCAGGACCCCTCTGAGCAGAGACTGTCTGGGGCCGCCGGCAGGAGAGAGGCAGCTATGGGACAAGCCCCAGGAGCCCAGCTGCCAGCAGCCCCCGCAGCCGCCCAGCTGTCTGTCCAGACACACCGAGATCGATTACCCATCGCCAAGCATCCCCACCCCGTGCCCCAGGGTCCCCTGCTCCTCCCCTCTCCGGGCCTTAATCTCCACCAAGGCGATGGGCCAGCCTGTGTCTTCAGAAGCCTTGGTGTTTGGCTTTATGGCTAAGCGTGTGCCCCACAGTCAGCACAGCCACAGTGGGGAGCTGAAGCTCTAGAACTGCTACGGAGGCCTCTGGCTCTTGGCCTCCCCTGGGGGTGGCTGCCCTGAGCCTGTCCTTCTCCTCAGTGCCGTCCAGGACATTTACAAAGGACAGGCGACCCCACGGGCCTCCCGAAGACCACTGCCCCACATGGCTAGAGGGCAAGAACGACCACGTAACCCTGGCTCCCCTCCTGCTGCCCCGTCTCCAGCTACCGCCGCAAAGGCCCTGCCTCCTGATGCTGCGCCAGCTCTCTCACCCCAGCCCTGCACTAGAGGCTCGTGGGCCTGGTCGCAGTCCCCCCGTCCAGTACCAGTCACCGCAGTTTGGGCCCCCCTGAGCACAGAGCCTGAGAGTTTGGGGTACAGACAGTGTATCTGGAAGGCAGCAATTTTGGAAGCAGGCGAGAGGGAGCAGGGAGACAGGAGAGCAAAGTCAGTATAGAGTTGCCACTGCAAGTGTGCGGGGCACGACAGCTCCAGGACCGTGACCGCTGAGAGGCTGCAGGAGGCGTCTGGGATTGTCCATCAGAGCGAGGGAGATGGGACACCTTGCTCCCAGACTCTGCGCCAGCACAGGGACAAGGACAGGCCGGGCCGAGGGGGACAGGTGGGTCTGGACAGCGGGCAGGAAATGAGCTCACAGAGCCTGAGCCAGGGAAGGGTCCCCAGAGAGCCAGTGGGAGGGACTGAGCCCAGACGGGCCCCTGGTACCCAGCTCAGAACACATCACACAGCCCTTCCAGGGCTTCACCTTCCCACCCATCTGACAGGGAAGCCGGGCCTGCCGCTGGACTGTGGGGGCCCAGAGGCTCCTGGCCCTCTCGGCAGCAGCAGGCG